ATCAATGATACTTTAGATACTTAAATGAAAATGGTGCTTTATACTTATTTATGATATAAGCATTTTTATTTTTATAATTTTACTTTTTTTAAATATCAAAGCGTGGCTAAAATCAATTTCAAGAGTTTTTTAAAATTTGATTTTAATGAATTTCCATATATATTTTTTTACTCTAATAATTATTAATGGTTCGGATACAAATTAACACGTAACTTATTATAAATTTCTTTTAACATGTTCATTGTCTCTTTTGAGCATAATGAAATTATCTCTCTAATAAATGTTATAATTTCAGAAAAAATATTTAAATAGAGAAGTTGTAAACCAAATTTAATTAAACAGAAAGAAAAGTACATATACTAATACTAATAGTAATTACTACTCTCTTCATCCATTTTTGTATATTGTCGACTAAGCATATAGTTTTAGGAAGTTAATTTGACCTCCTGCCAGTCATGTAAAGTGAGCAAAATAATAAAATTACCTTAAAAAGTGATTGGTTAATTTGTTTTGACTGAATATTACAGTAAAAGATAAAAAAGAAAATACAAGTTATATTTATTTACTTTTTTAATAAGACATGCACTTTGAATAAATAATTTTAATATTAGACTAAATAACATAATGACAAAAACTAGAAACATCGTTGCAACATTGATGAACTCTTTATCTGAAAAGGGTACAGGAGCTTCAAGTCTCCATGCCGAAGTGACTTGTTTGCTCTCAAGCAATCATAAAGACGAAGAGCTTGATCTGTTGAACTAATAAAATACCATCATCAAAACGTGAACACCATGACAGGTAACTGATCATGCCTAATATATGGATTCCTCCAACTCATTTAATAAAAATCAAGCAGAAAATTACCTGGAAGTGAAATGAAACTCATGGTGAAGGGTTCCTATATGATCTGCTACCTCTCTTGCAGATCAGGAGACCCCTGAATAGTAAAATTTCAAAATATCATAAATAAAGCGGTAAGGCCAAGTTTATGTCAAAACTAATATTATAAAGAAATTATGTATTACATAGTACTAGTAGCAGCAGTTTTACAAGGACATGGGATCTATACCTTCAAACCAATGCAGAAGATGTGTAACTGTGAGCCCACAGGCAAGCAGCCTCTGAATAAGTAACGGGCAGCTACAGCAGCAATGAGTCCAGCCCTCCAGATAACAGCACTCCAAATGGTACATCTATCATGAGCCTCTTAAGCACAGCTATATGAAATAAATTCACAAGGAAAAGCTAGTGGTGAAACATAAATGGCACAGCACAAACCGTGATACCAGCATCTATTAATTTAAGTATTTAACATGGGAATAATTACAAACTTAAATCCAAATATAGTCTTCAAGTATTCAGATCAGTGATGTACCAAACAATGAAAACCCTTTGGCACATACCAAACCTTATATATTTTTGTTGACAATTTTCTTTGGTCGAGCTTTTCAGACCAAATAGGATGATAGACAATAGAGGCAGTCAGACATACAAACATTGGCGGAGCTATATGCCCACCCTGAAATTTAAATTTAATTTATTAAGTATTCGGTAATAGGACCACCCAACCCCCAACCCTCTCCAAATTCACTTTGTACCCAATACCAAAAAAACGAAAAAATCATTATTTTTTCCAGATTTCAATAGGTTTAATCTAGAAAAACTCAAATAACATAATAAGACTATAATAATCTGTTAAAAAAATTGTAACACAACTTAAAAGTTTGTAAAAAAAATAGTTTACAAATCTGCAAAAAAAAAATAGAGAAGACCTAACAGAAGAAACTAAAATAAATAGGGCAAATTTAAAGGAAAAGTCAAACATTTATTGAGATTTTTCAATGATGGCAAATATCTCCGAGCGTGAATTCGTGCAATGAACAACTTCACGACGACGAGTGGACAAAGATTATCTGAGACCACATGGATCAAACGACGGAGCAACTTTCCAAAAATCAAAATATTATACTTAAATTAATTAATATATACCATACATAAATTTATATATATATATATTAAATCAAAGAAATATTTTTATGCATACTAAATCAAAGAACTAAAATTTACAAATACTAAATCAACATATAATCAAATCAAATCTATATTCATAATATTAATTAATAAATACATTTCAAAAATTAAATAATATATGTGAATCAAAATCTATGAATATTTTTAAATAATTAATAAAAATATTAATATTGTATATCACAACTTATTTCTTAGTGAATCATTACATTATTGGCGTAACCGTATTTCTTATATATATTTATAATATTTTTAACTTTTAACTTATCTTTTTATCGTGAGAATGTCTAAAGGTCCAACAACTTAAATTCTGATAACTTTTTAGGCCAAACCTAAAATATTAATAGTATCCATGACTTATTGAAGGTTGCTGTCATACATGCTATCATGCATGGGTTGTCATGCATGGGCGTATCACGTGCACATCAAAAAGTTGCTGAGAAGTTGTTTAGCTGCTTTATCAGTTAAGACTGCTGGACTCTAACTGCTCGTAACCATATGCAGTTATGAGTGAGCTAATTGTAACCACTGGTAATAAGATGTGTTGTATTTCCTATTGAAGTAATGAGAAAAGTATTTTGTTTTCTGAAAGTTAAACAAACATTTATAGATTATAACTCATTTTCTTACCATGTATAATATTTTAATGTAATATATTATGTTATTCTGATTGATAATTTTTCCGGTTCTGATTTATAAATTTTGTGATCCGTTTTTAACTTATTATATTTTTTACTGGTCACGTCGTTTATTAACCTTATTTTAGGTTCCTCACAACAGAACTTCTTGTTATAGGAAACTTGTTTTGTACAAAGCATCTCCAGCCAGTTTTGAATACATTACAATGTAAATATTGTTGCCTCATCCGACAAGGGAAGTAAGAGAAGAAACTCAAGCTAAAATAGAGGGATTTCACCAAGATATATTGTCAAATCATATTGGATATCTAACGAATACGAAAACAAAAGCTTTATCGGCGTGCGGTTGCAGGCAACGATGAAGAAGAATTAATAGTATCAAATTAAAATAATTTTTACAAATTAACTAAATTTTTTATAAATAAAAGATTTTCTCTTTTAATCATTAAAAATGTCAATGTTGGAAAGTTACTATATTAATATATATATAATTATTATTTATAAGATATATCTTGAGAATATTATAAAATAATATACATATATATATAAATATTCATAAAATAATTTAGATATTTGTAATATTTGATATTAAATCTAGAATATTTGATATTAAATCTAGAATTATTTATAAAATATTCTCAACATTTATAAGATTAATAGCTAAAACATTGTCACGTATCAACAATCCAATAAAAACTAAAATTTATAAATATGAGATAAGATATATCATTATTACTAGAGTAACTAAAGAGTGTAAAAAGTGTGTAAGAGAATTTATAGTTATAAACATGGGAGTGCTTATCAGTAATACCATGGTGGCTACTTAGTCAATACTACTTACTTGACAATACAAAAGGGTGTGCAACTAATGAATCAAGTGAAAAAAAAGTGAAGCAAATGAATACAAACAAATTTTATCGATAGAAATCCGATGCATCAATCTAAAAATCAGGTTTTGAGCAGAAAGAACTCAATATACAAAACATGTGTATATCTGTGAGCAGAAAGAAAATTTGCGTACAAAAAAATGAAAGAAAGCTCCCCCATCTATCTGCAACAAAAATGAAAAAGAAAAGAAAAAAGTACATAATCGACGGTACAACATCAATACTATATCTATCAGATTGTATTTAAGTGCCAAAAAAAAAAGCCATGGACGAACCATCTAAGAAAAAAAATGTATTTAAGAGCCAAACATCACCGCAAGAATCAGTACTATCTATCAATATTTAAAACTTACTTTTAAGCCTGTATCCAATCATAACGAGGATTATCACAATCAAATAGAAAATCCAAATGTATCTATTTCCTTCAGGAAGTTCCATTTCGGATCACGTCTTCCTTTCCTAAATCGTTTCTCCCACATTTTATCAGGCTGGCTCTTTCTTGGAAAACCAGAAACCATGACTTCTTGAATACGTACTTATTTAGTTTCTTGAGAAATAGTAGAGTCGTGCTTACTTAGACCGTCGACTAGATTGTTAAATATATAAAGAAAGAGCACAACTAACTAAATAACCGTGTAAACAAATTAACTGAAATTAACTTTTTTTTATTGGAGAGAGCGATCAACATTAAACTATGTGCAGCGCGTATCGTCTCTCTTGGTGGACAATTTGTAAAATCTTATGTAAATTTCAATTGAGTCTTAGGTATATCCTGACTCTGGACTGGGGAGCCACCCCTGACCTAAACTTTTTTTTTACCAAAAAAATACAGTTTTTTTTCATATATTACACACATTTACAATTTGTTTCATCTATAAGCCACATTGATGTTTTTGATCAGACCTATGGCCAAATTTTAAGATCGGAGTATAGATATCCTACAAATAAATCTTTACTTGTGATTTTTTGTGAAGTTTTTTAAATCTAATGAGAATTTAGGGTTAAAAAGTAACGGTTAAATCAAATTATTCAAAATTTCAAACAAGGTGATTGGAGGGTGTCGGGATTTGAGTTTTTTTTATATAAGCCCATTTTTAAATTTATTTTCAGTTTGACCCTCAAATTATAATTTATTTTTGGCTTAACCCTCCCATGTCACTCAGTAATTGACTGATCATTTTTGACGACGTCAGATAAAGAGGCCAAAACCATTGATGGGATGAAACTTTGAAGGGTCAAATTAGACCAAACAGAACTTTAAGGGCCAAAATGAGAACAGAATCATATTTTAGGGGCCAAATTGTACATTAAGCCTTATATAAACTCTTCAATTGACTAAAAAAACTAACTTCTAAGTAACAAAAATCTGGTTTTGTACTGTGGATTGGGGGAAGCGGAGCAACTACAGGAAATGGCTATGTGGCCCTTTTCGCCAATCGGATTGACTATAAGATGACTTGTTTGTCATTTAAACTCGGCATCTCTTAGCAAGGTAATCACATCCGCTATAAACCTCCAACCCGGGCTCACCCAGTTGATCTTCATTATAGCAGGCACATCGCTTGCTCATCTTCCCCGTCAAAGCGATTTCTAAAGGTCTCTGAACCAGCCTTGGGACGCCATTATCACACCAAACCTGCATCAAAATCAAAATAAATAAAGCACAAGGATACTTAGAGATGCTTCGAAATATTTCGGTCATTTGGATAACTCAACAACCTGTGACGTCGTTAATAAAAGGAAAACATAAATTGGGAGAGAGGGATATTACACCTACTCATTAGGGAAAAACGAATATAGAGGCCAAATATAACTGCATAAAAGATGAAAGCATGAACATGCAAGTATGCTCTGACCATTTCTCACTCCATTTCTGGAACCTCAATAATAGGTTAAATCATCTGATGATGCCAGTAGCCTTATACTCAAGCCAAAAGTAAGAAGCATCAAGGAAATAGTTATTTACTATATTATGAAATCAACAAACATCTATTAGCAGGCTCCATTATCTTCATTTGTCTTTCATATCTCTCACCATAGTTTTAAGTTAGCTGGTTAATTTATTCAGATTTTCACTTTACAAGTGTTATAGAAGAAACATCAGGAGATTAACCCTTTTGTTGGCTGGTACGAGCAGAGTGCAAATTTCAGTAGGTTGCTGAACTTTGCAAAAGTTAAATTGGAAGGTTTTCCAGCTCAATTTCAAAGCTATGAAGGCACATACCTCTCTGCCATCGTCTTGACTCCATCTTGAATTGCAACTGGGTTGTTTAGCTTCCATTTCTTTTTGTTTCTCCATGAGCTGTGCTCCTCTAGCAGCCTTCGCTTCTGCTCCCTTTAGATACTTCGTTGGATTTCCTGCGCTGTCATAGTAGCGGCCCACAAGTCTTCCAACAAATCTGCAATCAAGAATCAAGCACATAACAAATCATTTGATAATTTCTGAAAAGCTGTTTAGTTTGCTTTCATATAATAGAAGACAAAAACCGGACTGAAAGAACTAACACAGGGAAAGAATATATGATGTGAATGAGGAAAAAATGAATCTACAGTTTTACACCAAATACATCAAAGGAATTAGAATCATCCAGTTCAAAATTGAAAAAAGAATCTGATTCGCCCTATGTTCCTTGGTCAGCATTTTTGGCAGTGCAACTATGTTGATATGACTCAATTCTAACAAGAGTATAGGGTTTGTGACTGTCTGACTACTTCATCAGACACAAAAATTCCATTCTTCCTCCTTTTGATGTTCCTTTTTTTCCCATGATTTTCCAGTACTGACCTTTGTTTTTGGCTTCTTCCCCTCCTTTTTGCTTAAGGCTCTACATCGTTCCTCCATCTGTTGTCTCGGCACTTCTCTGTATCTCTTTTCAGTTATCGCTTTCATAATTTTTCAATTTCGCCACTGAAATTGTTCTTCCTAGTTCTTTAATAATATCTGGCAGCAATCAGTGTCTGTATGAATTACTTCAATCATTGAGAGAGATTATAATTAATTGAGAAGGAAAATTGACAGGGTGAGGGGAGAAAGAAGGTGAAGAAAGCTTTCAGTTGGGGCCTTAATTTGGTTCAATTAGCTGCAAAGTTCTGCAACTCTGTCCAACAAATCTGATTCAAACCCCATATCATTTCCAAAATTTAGTTGTGTCAAAATGGGGATGACACTAAAATGCTAAGCCCAAGTAACACAAGTTCCTAAAGTATTCTATATATTGCTCCCCGCATTAACATAAAAAAGATATAAATTCACTCAAACCTAAAGCACTAAATTGGATGCTTAAAAATGTAGAGAACACTAGTTCTTTAGTGGTTTTAGAAGTCAAGCATCTATGGGACATGTCAGAAGTGTTTTCTTGTTAATAGATTTGAATTCAAAATTATCAATTTCCAAGTGTTCACAAAGAAATCTGGACAAAAAGAAACGTTCATTGAGGAATTAATGCAATAAGGGACTCACTTGTACCTTCTGAAGTAGAAGTCTCTCCATCCAACTACACTATGGACCTACAAACATGAATAACCGAATGAAACAGATTAACTTTAAGGCTAATATATGACATTAGAAAAGAAACATGTAAAAAACAGTAAAGAGGTCCACCCTGTACTTATATCTTTCAAAAGTACAAAATTAATGTTACAGAAATGAGAACAAAGTAATTTACTAGCATGATATTCAGAGAAGAAACATGCATTTATACATATAAATACTTGTGACAAAGATGTCAGAAAAAAAAAGCATTTGTAAGAAAAAGAAACAAATCTAAATGTCAGAAAATAAAAATATGCCAAAAAATAACTTAACCGTTCCTTTTATTTAAAGTGTAGTTTCCCTTTTGCTTTTGACTAATGGTTAACCTCCATTAGCTTGCTGATAAAGCCAAGCAGGTTAAAGGAAAGGGAACACATATAATAGCATATCACCAAAAGGGAAGAGGAAATGCATCATTACCTCAGTGCTGGATAAACCTCGCAGAGAATCTGTACGTCCATCTCCTGTTTGGAAAATGAAGAAACAAGAGAAAATATATTTATACAGCTCAAAAAATCAAATTTTCTGTAGCATCTAGTAGATCCATAATATTTTATAAAAGAAAATTACTTCATACACAATTTGTTTATTTTGTCAATATAGGTACCAAAGGGATGCACTATGTATGTGCATGCCTTCATTGCTTTTCAAAAACCTCACTGTTCTGTTCGTATTTAGCATCATAACCTGAGGTGAAACCTAGAAGTGAAGTGCATTCTATGTTGTATGAATGAAACATTTAAATTTGTCAAGAATAAAGAACTTAACGAGAATTAAGAATGAAATATGCATATATCTAGAAGGCGCTGAAATGTTCCCAATTGCTCATATAGTCATATCTATTACAGCATAACTCATGAATCAGTCTTTTTTTTTTTTTTTGATAAATGCTCATGAATCAGTCTGATTCTGGATTTCTTAAAAATTAGTCCAAATTTTTTACTGAAGTCACTTTCATTTGCAATAAAGGCTGTTGACTCTATACTACTATAATCCTCTAATGTTTTCTCATACCAAGACAGAAGATGGCCATTGACATAAGGATTACGAAAGCAACATTAACATCCAGATTACCTTCTAGTGATGGTTCTAGAGTTAATCATTTGGGATTTTCTCCTCAGTTGACTAATGTCATGTTATAATGTGAATTTAAACAACCGTCAAGCCTTCTATGACTGTCTGAAGAATACGTAAATATCAATCCTTCAAATTGATTTCCACTTTGTTTCATGGTGAAGCTAGGAATAAAAGTACACAATCAGTAATTTGATTCACTCAATGAAGAACCTAATTAATTACCCAATTTTCTATAGCTTGAGAAGAGACTTAAAACCTTCCTTTTGCAACTATACAATCAGAATTAGTTCACAAGATACAGTCAGTTTACTACTTCATTTTTCCTTTTTTTGCTCCACACATTTATTTTCTAAAACCAAAAACCCTCAAAACCTCCTCACAATTAAGCCGGAGGATCGCAACTCATACTGGTAAAGTTTCCAGAAACAAATGCACGGGAGGCATCTCTGAATCATCAAAAACATAAAGAAAAGGTGAAATCAGATTGCAAGTTAGGAAATATAGTGATAGAATGCAATTGGCATATGACTATAGCCCAGCAATGAAAAAACCACTTAAATTTGCACAAGCAATAGCAAATAATCAGAAGATAATGCGCAAACGTGCATCTTAAAAGAAACAAATACAGATAATCAACACAAACTACTTGAATATCCCAATTTCCAATAAAAGAAAACAAACCAACCTTCCAGCAAAATGATGGTAACCCCCTCCAACACCATAGTGAGACTTTCCCTTTGTAACATCAAATACGGATCTAATCACATAGAATTCAATCTGGATAAACATTTCATAACATTTTTATATAATAATCATATGAAGAATAAGGCAAAAGAAAGTACCCCAGAATTCCTAAGAGTATGGGTAATGATTCATCAGTTCCATTATACAGTGACAATTCCTCAGCAGTAAATAATTTCTGCATTAAAAAAAAGATAAAATATTTCAAGTTTCCAAGCAAAGAAAGAAAAAAAATGGAAAACTGGGATGGAAGGGAAGCGAAGACCTGTGAAGATTTAAACTTGAGGAGAAAAGCCATGAGAGCGACCAGAAATGTCAACCCAAGGAAAGATGAGCTTGCAAATTTCTTCGCCGACGATGTCATTGTTTCCGGTGCCGAGTTTCGATTTGATGTTCTTTTTTAAAGGCATAATGCCAAAAAAATGACTAAACTATTACTTTTGTGTTAAATAAGTGTCTTTGCATATTCTTTTAGCAAGAAAATAATTACAGTGATCAAAAATTTCTTATAATATTTGATTTTTACTCATTTTTTTTTATTTGTTAAAATGACCAACAAAATCGCAATGCGATCTCTAAATCGCAATGCGATCTCTAAATTACAACGCGATCTTCAGTATCGCAAATCAGTTTCCAGATTCGCAACGCGATTTTGACTATCGCAATGCGAATATATAAATCGCAACGCGATTCTGACTATCGCAACTCGATTCTGACTGTCGCAACGCTGAATTTCAAATTCGCAACAGGTTTTAGTTTCGCAACACAAATGTTTTGGGTATATAACTATGCAGCGGCAACAACTCATAACCTATATCCCTAAATCGCAACTCATTCCATCTCTATCTATCACTCTCTCCGGCGACATCCGTTCCTATATCCAACGACATCCTTCCCCATCCGACAACAGGTTTTAGTTTCGCAGCTCGTTTGTTTAGTAAATTAATTTACAATAATGAAATCATCTAATGTTGATCATGTTTGGATAGATTTGTGTTTTGGAGGGTCATGGGAGAATGTTCATGGTGTTTTACAATATATGCCTTTACCCATGAATCTTCAACTAAAACTGTCATTAAAAAAGTTAACTTATGAAACTCTAATGTTACGTGTTGCAAATAAATTGAATTTAGAGCCCTTAAGTGGATTTAGGCTATCTTATCAGAGAAAATGTAAAGTTTATTTGTTAACCGACAATGAAGATGTTGAACGATTCATTGCTTACATTAGTGTTTCGCAAGATGATGTTACATTGTATGTTGTTGAACCTAGAAGTAGTAAAGTTGGGTCAGTAGCGGGTAGTAATCAACTAAGTTTTTCAACCCCAGTTTATAGTGCTCAAAATTTAATGGTTCCACCACAATTTCATCATCAAGCAAATTTTGTTTCACCACATTTCCAATACCAAACACAATCTCAAAACCCACAACCTTTCCCTAATCCAAATCCCAATCAACTTTCAGCACCAAATTCCGGTTTTCGTATTGACCAGTTGACTATGATGAGCCAACAGAAAAAATTGTGAGTACTAGTCAGTATTCGAAATTTGATCTTGGTCAATACCCAGACTTTGATCTTGGTCAATACTCGGATTTTGATGATGTTTCAGAAGAAGAAACAGACCCTGGGTGTAATGATTTTGATATTGGTCAATACCCGAATTTTGATGATGAAACAGCCGTTGGCGAGGAAGATGTTGTTGATGATAATGAGGATGAAGTTACGACTGTGAATGAACATATTGAACATCCATTCTATAATTCATATAACCCTGAAGAAGAAAAGGAAGAAGAAGAAGAAATCCCCGAAGAAAAGTCCCCGAAGAAAATACCACGGGAGTATAACTGGAATATGCCAGAATTACTTCAGATACCGGTAGAATAGTTGGTAAAGATAGTAGTTGATTGTTACACAAAAATTATTCGTATCAAGAAAGATGATTGTTTTTGATACAAATGAAGACTTGAAGATAGCTTTGTATGCGAAATGTGTGGAAGATGGCTATCAACTAAAAGTTAACAAATCAAGCAAAGATTGTTTCAAAACAAGGTGTATGATTGACAACAACTGTACGCGGCGTATGATTGCAAAGAGGATAAAAGATTGCGAAATGTTTCAAGTTAGGACTTTTATTGATAAACATACATGTTCAAGAACCCAAGTTTTTCCTCACCATAGATAGGCAAACAAAAAGGTGTTGGGTGGTTTTCTGGCTGAGTTAATGTTTTTGAATGACAGGGTATATCGGGGACATGAAATTATGACTGACATGAATGCTCGGTTCAAGATTAGTATCTCATATTCTCAAGCTTGGAGAGCCAAATGTTATGCCTTGGAATTGTTGAGGGGGTCGCCAGAAGCATCGTTTGCCCAACTGCCGGCTTATTGTCACAATTTAAAGCTGAAAAATCCTGGGTCGGTAACTCATATCAAAACAGATAGAGATGGACGCTTTGAGTTGTTGTTTATCGCCATTGGTGCTGCGGTTAGTAAATCAATATAATTTTGTTGACTCATTTTTGTTAGTTACATGCATTTCACATTTAAATGATTATATTTCTTGTGTATATTATTTTGTAGATTCGTTCGTTTATTACTTGCATGCACCCAGTTATTATAGTTGACAGAGCACATTTGAAAGGTCGATACCTTGGAGTAAACTTATTAGCAGTAGTCATGGATGCTAACAATGGGATATTACCAATAGCTTACGGGGTTGGCAAATCTGAAACCTCTGATTCATGGACATGGTTTATGGGGCATCTTAGGGATTGCATAGGTCTTATTAGCAATCTAACAATCATATCTGATAGGGCAAACTCAATTGACAACGCTGTTAGAAGGGTTTTCCCAAATGTTTTTCATGGACTTTGTGATGTTCATTTGTATAGAAATCTAAAATCAATGTCTGCTGGTATAAAAAATCACAAATGGACATACTGGAAGGCTGTAAAAGCTTATCGGGAAGTGGATTTTAATAAGCATATAAATTGTTTAAGACATGTTTTGCCTCAGTGTGCTCAAACACTAGAAGATGTCGGGTTTGAAAGATGGTCAAGAGTACATCAACTTGGAGTGTTGGCCTCCTAACTATATAAAAGCTCAAAAAAGTTAAACGTATACTAGTAATAACTTGTTTATATATGTTAGTATTTGTGTTAACTTACATCATTTATTGTCGTATACCGTAGTAACTCTTCCCAAATCAACAGTCGTCGTTTCCTCTTCCAGGAAATAGCTCTAGGAATATCATTTGAAGTTTTTAATGCATATGTCTGCATGTCGGGAAAAGCCTCAAATATCCAAATCTACAAACAATATAATACACAAACATTAGTAATTGTTAAATAATTAATTATAATTTTGGAAACATTATATAGAAATTCTTACCTTAAAGGCCCAAATAAAGCCTGACAAAGTGTATTTGGAACCATCGCCATACAAACTTTTGCGATCATCAAAGGCAGACGACAACTTATTCCAGGTAGCTTTCCATAGATACGAACCCCACAGAAACAAGTTCCATGCATTTAGGTCCTCTACCAATAATATTAGGCCCTTAGGAATAGGTTGTCTGGCCTCTCTGCCTAAAAAGTCGGTATGCAAAAGTACTAAAAGGCATACTCGGACAACATCGACGTCATCCATCAGAGTAAAACCATCTTTCTTATTCAATAATCTCGTCAAGTCGTCGACGTGTAAATTCGGCTTCTCCATTGACAGCTCAGGAAAAACCCGGGATAACCATGATGGGTGGGTAATATGACTAGTGTATCGACCTACATCATCGTGTCCAAAGCGTAGACCAGTGATTAAGCAAAACTCCTCCCGCCCAAAACACGTATACGCCGATGGAAAATGAAACCATATATCTTCATTACCACGTTTTATACTCTCGGGTAGATCGCTAGTCATGGTCTGAAGCCACAAATGGGTCAACATAGCATCTCCACCCGGGTGTTGTACTTTCAGCCATGGCCTGAAGCAAGTATCCTCAAACAATTTTCTTTGTACATGTGAAAGCTTCGACGCAATTGTAGTGACTAGGCTTATTTTATTCCTTAAGGTCAATTGAGCCGAAAAAAAGTTATACAAAAATAATAAACATACCAAGTTAGATATACCAAAAACTACACTGTGAAGATATACCAAAAACAATAATAAACATAAAGAGTAGTAGTAGTTTATTCTTCAAACTTAAATTTGCAACACTGTGAATTTCGTATTTGTCTTTGTTTTTTGGTTGAAGTAATGCAATTCATTCAAGTTTCAATTTGCAGAAGAATAATAGTTTCTGAAACTTAAAATCGCAACACGAAAATGATAATCGCAACACGAAAATGACTATCGCAACGAGAAAATCGCAACGCGAAACTAAAATCGCGTTGCGATTTTGTCGTTGCGATTTTCATTTCGCGTTGCGATCCTCAGTTTCAAATAGTCATTGTCTAAAATTGAAACTTGAATGAATTGCATTACTTCAACCAAAAGACAAAACAAAGACAAATACTAACTTTACAGGGTTAAAGACTTAATAGTTTAGCAGTATTGGCAACAATTGAATGAATTTAATAAGAAATCTAAGTGAAATGGTTAATCTATTATTGAAATTATCAGTAAACTTATCATCAATTTCAATATGAAAAACCTAATAATAATGCAAAAATTTTAAAATAAAAATAATTAAAAAAACTAACCCTCGGTGGTTGATTTGGTTGATTTTCCATTTCTGATCGTGAATGATTGTGAGGGTGGCTCTGAGAGATGGATATAGACGGATTTCGCCGGAGATGGGGATGGATTTCGTCGGAGATGGGGATGGATGTCGCCGTAGAGAGTGAGAGATGGAGATGGGATTGAGTTGTGATTTAGGGTTTTAGGTTAAGAATTACGATTACGGGATATATTAATATTCGTGTTTGGAATTTGAAAATAAAATACGCGTTGCGATACTAATGGCGCTTTGAAAATCGCATTGCGATTTTGTATTATCACAACGCGAATTTGGAAAATCGTAATGCGATAGTCAAAATCGTGTTGCGAATCTGGAAACTGATTTACGATACTGGAGATCGCGTTGCGATTAAGAGATCACATTGCGATTTTGTTGGTCATTTTGGCAAATCGAAAAAAAGTTGGTCAAAATCGTATATTATAAGGAATTTTCGGTCACTGAGGTTATTTTCTCTTTTTAGCCAATCCGGGCAGTCATTAGTTCTATCCGGTAACATGTGTCCTGATAATTTTTAAAAGATTTATATAAATTTTAAAAAAAATAAAATTATATATTTTTTTAAAAAAATACATAAATTTTGAAATAATCCCTAAACTTTCATTTCAACCCCTAAACCCACACTGATTGCCACCCTTTGCTATCGAAGAAGCTCCACCCGACCTCCCTTCTCCCCGAAGACCAAAACCCCTATGAAATCGTGGCCGGTTGATGACTGATCGATGACAAATTAACGTTTTAAATCTCGTGAATCCTAGGATAAAAATTGCGATCTCATGCGATTTTCGACAATGAATCGGCGATAACTACGACAACATATAACTAGGATGATGACAAAGACTACGTTGGCGACGACTATCGTGGCCGGAGAGGATGGCAACGACATATTAATGTTAGGATTTGGGATTTTAGGGTTGTTTTATGATATAAGAAAAGTTAGGGTTTTTTTATAAATATAATAAGATTTATAATATTTTTAAAAAATAAATTTTAAAATTATCAGGTTGTGACATGTGTCACTTAATGGGAAAAACTAACCCTCTTGACGGCTCGGGCATCTATATTGCTAAAGTTTGTAACGTTAAGCACCATAATGGGCCAAACAAGATGTAGGCACTTATTTGACACAAAATGTATAGCTTGGGCACTTATTTGAAAATTAAGCCTTTAAAAAAAATCTTTAATTGGGTCAAAGTTCAGGTTTGATCTCAAACGGGAAAATGAAAATTAATAATTTGTATTTTAATAAAATATTTAATACTAGTATATTTATATTTTTAAAATACTCAATATATTGTATGTACACTAATAAAATGAATAATGTAATACTTGAATTATCCGGTAAATTCCACGAGATAATGTTCTCAAAATAATTAATTCATGAGGTAATGCTATAGTCGGATTAATTGTTGATATAGGGTGAATTCTAAGAACGTAGGTCGCCATGTACTCCGGGCGACATAGGAGGTCGCCAAGGCATCTCTGCGAGCTGTTGGGCAGCAACCTCTTGGTCGCCATGCAAGCCCCGCGACCAAGCAGGTCGCCATGCAGGAGGTCGCCATGCGTTCTTCACGCCAGAAGCTGTTGGCATGCGTGTGTTGGCCCCCTCACTTCACTCACCAAAAAGGGCAGCTTGTTGTTTACTTCCCTGCGTGCTGGCCCCCTCACTTTGTCACTTTGTCACAATCCCATGCATGCATCCCATCCAACGTTCTATTAGGGTTTGATATGTTTTGTTCAATCCAGCACACGCATGCCAACAGCTTCTGGCGTGAAGAACGCATGGCGACCTGCTTGGTCGCAGGGCTTGCATGGCGACCAAGAGGTTGCTACCCCGCAGAGATGCCTTGGCGACCTCCTACGTCGTCCGGAGTACATGACGATCTACGATCTTACTGTAGAATTCACCCTATATCAACAATTAATCCAACTATAACATTATCTCGTGAATTAATTATTTTGAGAACATTATGTCGTGGAATTTGCCGAATTATCCTAGTATATATTATTACAGAATAATAATACATTTTTGTTAGTGTACATTATTGGTAAATTCCACGAGATAATGTTCTCAAAATAATTAATTCATGAGGTAATGCTATAGTCGGATTAATTGCTGATATAGGGTGAATTCTACAGTAAGAACGTAGGTCGCCATGTACTCCGGGCGACGTAGGAGGTCGCCAAGGCATCTCTACGAGCTGTTGGGCAGCAACCTCTTGGTCGCCATGCAAGCCCCGCGACCAAGCAGGTCGCCATGCAGAAGGTCGCCATGCAGAAGGTCGCCATGCGTTCTTCACGCCAGAAGCTGTTGGCATGCGTGTGTTGGCCCCCTCACTTCACTCACCAAAAAGGGCAGCTTGTTGTTTACTTCCCTGCGTGCTGGCCCCCTCACTTTGTCACAATCCCATGCATGCATCCCTTCCAACGTTCTATTAGGGTTTGATATGTTTTGTTCAATCCAGCACACGCATGCCAACAGCTTCTGGCGTGAAGAACGCATGGCGACCTGCTTGGTCGCGGGGCTTGCATGGTGACCAAGAGGTTGCTACCCCGCAGAGATGCCTTGGCAACCTCCTACGTCGCCCGGAGTACATGACGATCTACGATCTTACTGTAGAATTCATCCTATATCAACAATTAATCCAACTATAACATTATCTCGTGAATTAATTATTTTGAGAACATTATGTCGTGGAATTTGCCTACATTATTTGAATTTATGAAGTATCCTTTAAGAAAATACATTTTTATTAGTGTGATGTGTGCAGGGGATCAGAAGACGGATAATTTCGACGACGCAAATGATACCAAAATCAGAAAGCTTGAAAGTCAGAAACTGGACCTGAGCAACGAGAACAATGACTTGAAGGAGCGGATCAAGAAAGTGACCATGGAATTCGATCGACTGCGAAACAAGGAAGAGGAGATGAAGCTAGAAATGGATCAGTGGGATGAAGATAAGAGGATTCTGGAATCAGTCACCGCGACATCGGCTATTCTTGGAGCTGATGTTGCC